GGGGGGGGGAGATTCATAACAGGATGGACATTAAGGAATCCATAACAGGATGGACATTAAGGATTTCTAAATCCTGCATTTAAAGCTTGCAAAAATATAATGTACCCACATGAGATAATGTTTCTTGTTCAGTTTGATCAATGGATCTGGTTTGATATTTAATATAACAATCAATTTTATATAGTTATACAGACTATTACATGCAAACAGCAAAGCTTAAATCTCAACTTGGTCAGGATTTCCTTGTACTAATTTATTTGATATTCAGTTGGTAGATTCTCTCAATAGTATGATGCTGCTGCTTCTTTAGTGAATCCAGCTTGAACAACCTCTTGAATACTTTTGATTTGCTCAGGAGGAGCAGCAGGCAGAATGGCAAGCAACTCTCTATCAATCTTTTCTAATCTTGCAGTGCTTTTCCTGTCAAACTCCTCTTTATTCTTCAGGACAAGCCTTAAGATGCCTTTTTGTGCCTCATCACAGCCAATCTGGAGCTGATGTCGCTCATGCTCAAATTCTGGCTTACTTTTATCCATGACCATCAGTTTACCCAGTGAACTGACACGGTCCATCAGGTACATGTTGGAAACATCTGTGTATGTTCCAGAGATCATATGGACCAGACTAACAATGTTACAGGCTTGGAAAGCTTGAGTGTAAAGGAGATCTTTTGAGAAGAGCTTTGCATTGTAGGAGAGGGCTTGTGTTTTCTCAGATGTTGAGACAAAGTTTGTAAGAGTTGTACTCAGGCTGGTTTTCACAATGTTGGAAACCATCTGGAAGAAGCGAACCATCTTTTCCCACTGCTCCTTCACTCTTCCCATGGCATCCATTCCTTTGACCAGCATTTCTATGGTAGTTTTGAAGTCAATCTCTTTCAGTTCACAATTTCTCATAGTGATCAGGATTTCAGTTAATTCCTTCTGGTTCTGCTCTAGGTTCTCCACATAATTTTCATATGTCTCCCTTGTCCTATTTAACTGAGCTCGGGTCTGCTCTATGGCAAATCGGGCATTCTCAGTGGCCCCCTGCATAGAACTCTTGTTTTCTTCTTGAAAAATCATTGGTGGTTTCGGAGACATGGCTGGAGCTTTTGTGATGTCTTTGCTTTTGGTGTCAAACATTCTGGCTGACGTGATCAATTTCAAGACATTCTCTATTATTTCATTACTTTTGTCTTTGTCACAATTGCCATCTTGTGCATAGTTTGCCAATTGTTTGCATATACTAATACCCTTTATGCATAAAGACTGAGCTTCTGATTTCACTGAGCAGTCTGTGAGTTGCTCTAAACAATTACTCAACCTTTTGAACTGTTGTTTTATGAATTTAATGTTTGTTGCTTTTTTCTTCTTCTGATCATAAAGATTTGTCCATTTAATTTCATCGTCCTTGTTAGTCACACACATTTCCTCCTTAACAGTCTCCGCTAATTTAAGAATTTCAGAAGACTTGCTATATATGTTTATTTCATCAACCAAATCTCCTCTTTTCCCCATTAACTCTTGAGCAGTAGCAAAAATCTGTGTTGTTGCAGAACACACAGCTGTCACTGGGTTAGATAAAACAGACATCATTCCACTAAATAAGCCTGTAACACTCTGCAGCATTCCTTCAGCAATCTCCATTTCAATCATTTCCCATCCAACAGGAAGAGAATCCAGAGCATTCTGGTAGTTTTCATGAGCTTTTTCCATTTCCTTTTCCATGGTACTCATTGCCTTCTCAGTCCTTCTTTTGGTTTCTTTAGCTGACTGCTCTCTCAATTTTGTCTCCACTAGGTTCCTCTTGGTTGCTTCTATCTCCTCCCCATAAAATTGATTTTGATTTAAGCATGCCTCCAGCAACTCTTGGATAATATCGATGACATTGTTGAAACGCTCCTCGGTTGCATTGGACAACTTGAGACATTCATCTGCAATGACTCTGATATTGTCCAACTGATCAGGAAGATGTGCCTTGACAACTTCATCATCACCCTGGAACAGAATCTTTACAGCTGTCTTCATGTAATCTGGAACTTGGGCAGTATGGAGGCGAATCTGATCCATGCTCTTATGGGCTTCGTTAAATGCCCACCAACCAGAGTTACACACTTGCATGAGGCAAGCCCGAAAGGATTCTGGGTATTTGATGAATTTGTAACCATCTTTGGGGGTATTTTTATTAATAGAGAAATCTGTTGTGGAAGAAATGAAAACCAGCTCTCCCAGAATGGCTATAGATAGAGGTGCTGGAGTCAGATACTTTTCCCAGTTGGCATAGGGCTGCATTATAAGTTTAGTTTGATTTCTCATGTCCTCAGCAGTCGTAAGGCTCTGAGTAGTCTTTACAATTATTGAATCCATTTTTCCTGAACCTGCTTAAAAGAGAAAGATTGCTTTTTAAAATAATGGCTATGAATGACAGTTAAATTTTTTGTCACAATCCTCTAGATTATTCAGAGTACAGTCTATTCACATCATTTACAATGCTTCATAGGTTATGTATGATATAATTCTATATGTTCACTTAAAAAATGGCATGTACATACTATTTATGTTTGTTTTTTTATGACTTGCGTTGAATCAAATGTTGTGAATAATATCTGAGCTCGCTGGTTTGTTTATAGGCTTGGAGCCCCTTATTGAAGAATTTTGATGTACGTATGGCCTCTAAAGTCAATACAATAACTTGTCAATAATTACTGTAGTTCAACAGCACCATTGATTTAATCTATTCAAAATGTGAGACCCTATAAAGAATTTGTACCACACTACCCTAAATTTAATGCACAATACAATATTATTTCCATAACAGAGCAACGTCTCCATTGTACACAATGTAATGGTGAATTTCACCTAGACTTAAATAAAAAAAGTGTGCCATCTGAAATAAATTACATTAACCCCAGAATGCATAAAGGGGGTCAAATTAATTCAACAGGCTGTGATTTGTTTTTATATGTCATCAACAAAAGCAGTTACTTTTTTGATATTTGATATTCCATGAAGCGTCAAAATCTGTACTGGAGAACAGTGAGTAAGAGGACAGTGGAGGAGCTGGAAAAGAGAACCACCACAGTGTGAGCCAGATGAGAGCCAGGACGAGGATCCATGGTGGTGTAGGGTCTCTGTTCGAACAGACCACCAAATGAACTGCAGGATAACTGCAGGATAACAAAGAAGAATCTTAAAGCCATTTGCGGGTCAAAAAACTGATTGAGGACCATCAGATGACCCATCAGATTACGCCCCAATTGTCTCGAGCAGTTTCCTGTCGACACCTGGCTTTCGTCCCTCAAGGAATCTAAAACGGTGATAACTTTTAACTCAATCAACCAAAAAGAGAACTCTCTCTGTTTGGAACCATTTAAGCAACAGATGGTCAAATGTTATCTTGTGATCCCTATGCATAACTTAATTTGGAATAAGCAGGAAAAGGCAGATTTACAGAGGCTACGTTTAAATGCAATCAAATAATCCGTTTGTAATCGGATTGACGGCTCAATCGGACTGAAAAGCCTTCATGTAAACACCTTAACCGATCCGATTGAGCTAAACCGGAATGAAATTTCGATCGGATTGAAGGGGGTGGTTTATTTTTTTTCGAATATGATTGAGAGTGCATGTAAACACTCGATCGGATTGAACCCCGAAACTGAAAGGACAGCGCATGTGCAATGATGCAGAAATAGCATAATGACGTATGACACGCAGAACGAGCAGTTCTTCCTTTTGAATAAAGTGTTGTATAAATGCGTGTCCTGTCATTATAAAACTCTCCTTTCACTCGCCAACTGTGAAGTGGAGCAGTACAATCTCCCACCAGTCCTTGTTTTGGATTCTTATCCACAGGCAACCCGTTTTGGGTGCGGGGAGGAGCATTTTTACTGCATGATAAATATGAGCAGCACGGTTAATGCATTATGTTAATCTAACTCAGTTAGCTGGATTTGATTGTTGATGATTTGGCGTGATCTTGGATTGTTTGGTTCGTCGAAGCTCATCCCGGAGTTGCAGTCATAGCAACAGGTCCGTAATCTTAACCCTCTTAGCGCCAAAGTCGCAAAATTGGATGAGAATATTTACACCCCACATAAACTTTCGGTCATGCCCAACATTTTTCTAATTTACATTAGATCTCTATCTTTAAGCCCTTTCAAGCTACAAGCTTTTGAAATCTTGATGTCAAAATCCAGCATTTTTCCCATTTTTCCTGGCGCCTAAAGGGTTAAACCTGCTCGGGAGCAGGCTTATTTCATGTAAACAGGATTAGATCGCATCGTCTTAAGCAGAATTGATACTTAAAATCTGTCCTCTACTACCGCTACTTTATTACAAGAGTACCCTACTAATCCAGGAATAATAATTAAAAAATAATAATAATTTAAAAATTAATTTTAAAGATAATATAATAATGTTGTGTAGTCTTTAATACTACAGACACAGCCAGCTTTATTCACTGAAAGATTTATTCGTCATATAATTATTACTTCATAATTGTATTCGAGTCTTACACATGCTATACAGATAATGTAGAGTCATGCATTAATTTGAGAGGAGACAGATATGGGAGTGGCTTGATGGAGCTCAGGAGATGCAGATAACTTGATCTTGACCCTTAAGGAACTTTAACACTGTCACGTAACAAATCTATTCAAATATAAAATTAAATGAATGGCTAATTACTACATTGAAATAAAAATGTAAAGCCTGTACAAATATTAGAAATCGTGAATATAAATAATTGGGAATCATGTAAAAA